AAAAAAAAAAAAAAAAAAAAGGCTAATATTGCTCCTGGGAAGTATTTGGGACCCATTCAGTGCTTCTCAGTCTCCCACAGGCCCCTCTTTGAAACCATCTTTGTTCTTCTTCTTTTCCCCCCTCTGCTTACAATCACCATAGAAAAATGTCTAATCCAAAATATGTACCTCAGGGGGGATGTGGCTAGCGGGGGTACATTTCTCCCCGGCAGCTCAAGCTGGATAGTTCCCACAAGTTCTCAATGCCGGTGACTCTGGGAAACATTCCAGAAGTTCAGTTAAAATGCCTGCATGAGGTCTATAGAGATTATAGACTCCACCAGGCATGATTCCCCAGGCCCAGCTGGCCCGTGTGGCATTTTCCTGCAAGTTAGAAATGCCTGCCCCCTGCAGGAGATCCAGCTTCTAGGTGGCACCGTTTGGCAAGCCAAGCACTAGCTAGGTTTTCTCCTGGGTATGCCTCATATTGATTTTCTACTTGCCATAACAATGCTGTGCAACACACCGCCCCAAAACTCATTGGCTTAAAACAGCAACAACATACTGCTCATGAGTCCGTAGGGCACCTGAGCAGCGAGGCAGCTTTGATAATCACTCAGAGCTTGCTCCAGTTTCCAGGGCCTCCTTGGTTGGGGAGACTGAGATAGCCTTATGTGGCTTCTCGTTTTGCACCCAAATAGCCAGGATTGTTTGCACAATGGAGGCAGGGGTCAGAAAGGACAAACAAGCAAAGGCACAGAAGATGGCTTGAGGTTCAGGCTCAGAACTGGTACACCATCTCTTCTGCCCCGTTCTGTCATCAGAGCAAGTGACAAGGCCAGCCCAGATTCTAGGGGAAGGGAAATGGACTCCATTCTTGATGGGAGATGCTGCAGAATCACACTGGGGAATCAGGTCCATTTTTGCAATCCATCTGCCACATGCCCCCTTGACCAGGCACTCTGGTGCAGATCCCAGCCTCCTTAAAATCCCTGGCCCTGCCTGGGTTCAGCACAACTCTGGTTACTCCTCCCCAAGTGTCCTCCAGGTGGTGTACTTCTATCTCTCTTACCTCCTCAAGGCGTTACCTGATTCCTTTCCAAATGCTCAGTTCAGTGGGCAGCAGTGGTCTGTACCTGCCTAGTAACCAGTCTCAACCTTCTGCTGGAAAAAGCTGCTGCTGACTTTTCCTTTGGTAAAATTATCCCTCCCAAGCCCCGGAGCTGTGCTGATTGGATAAGGATGGCCACAAGACTCTGGGTGACTCAGAGTCAATCCAAGACTCAAGCTGGAACTGTTTGAAAAGGGAGGCTCCCTTTCCTCTGGAGTTGCTGGGAATATAGAAGTTGGAAGCCTGGAGGGGATGAAAGGACCACCACGTGGAGGGTGCCTGCCTGGGTGTAAAGCCAATAAAAGTGAGAAACAAAAGGAGAGGAGATCACCATATACATCTCTCTGTCTCTGGATCCAATCATACCTGAAGTAGACACCTGGACTTGTCAGTCTTGAAGCCAACAAATTCCACCTCCATTTTTAAATTTGTAAACTTTAATTTCTTGGCTTAGGCTGTTTCGAATGGGTTTCTGTTACTTGCAACCCCAGGAAGGTTGACTAATAGACCCATCAACAGATGCTTATAGATGTTCAGTCTTTTTAACACACTCACTGTGCTCTCTTCATTCATACATTCATTGGCCAGTGCTTTCCAACTGCCTACTATGTGCTAGGCACAATGGTGGGTGCAAACATCTTATGGGTCAACATCTCTGAGTTTGGTCTCCTGGGGTTATATCTTTTGGTGGTTCTACCCCACAGTCAGGGCAAAGCTCTGTCTGTGAGCCAGCATGTGCACCCCTCAGTTCCTCATCAAATGACTAGGTGTAAATGCAGACACTTATGTCCCAGGAATTCATTTATCTCTCAATAATACTAACGAAATTACACACTGCCTTTCCAGATAATATCAGTTCATGTTTACTAGGTAGTGTGCTCCTTGTTTTTACATATTTCATTTCATTTTGTTTTCACAAGAACCATCTGAGGTGGGCTTTACTACATCCTTTTTACGAATAAAAGTCTGAAACTCAGGAAAGTTATGTGACTTTCTGTGTCTAAAGCCCAAGACTGTCTAAAGTCAAAAGCTCATCTGCTGAATGGAAATATCTTCTTTTTTATGTATCAGTGTTCCAAGGGCCACAAATGCTGGTGACTTAACTTAAAGCTCTTAACACCTTTCTTGACGCCTCCTATTCCTCTCTGAATCTGCTAGGTCTACCATAATAAAATAGTGCAGACTTGGTAGTTTAAGCAACAGAAATGTATTTTCCCAAGGTTTTGGAAGCTGAAAGTCCAAGATCAAAGTGTCAGTTTTGGTTTCTCCTGAGGCCATTTTCCTTGATTTGCAGATGCTGTCTTCTCTCCTCATTTGATCTTTCTGTGTGTGTGTGTGTGTGTGTGTGTGTGTGTGTGTGTGTGTGCATTCCTCTTCTTTTTTCTTTTTTTCAGAGTCAGGGCCTTGTTCTGTTACCCAGGCTGGAGTGCAGTGACACAATCATAGCTCACTGCAGCCTTGAGCTCCTGGGCTCAAGTGATCCTCCTGCCTCAGCCTCCCGAGTAGCAGGTACTAGAGGCTCAAGCCACTGCTCCCAGCTAATTTTTACTTTTTTTTTTTTTTTTTTTTAAGCAACAGGGGTCTCACTTGGTTCTTGGTTGCCCAGGCTGGTTTTGAACTCCTGGCTTCAAGTGATCCTCCCACCTTGACCTCCCAAAGTGCAAGAATTACAAGCGTGAGCCACCATGCCCAGCTTTTCTTTTCTTTTTTTTTTTTTCTTTTTGAGTTGGAGTCTTACTCCTTTACCCAGGCTACAGTGCAGTGGCTTGAACACTCACAGCCACCACAGCATTGACCTACTAGGATCCGGTCATCCTTTTGCCTCAGCCTTCCAAGTAGCCAGAACTACAGATGCACACTACCACGCCTGGCTATTTTTTATTTTATTGTAGAGACACAGCCTCGCCAAGTTGCCCGGGCTGGTCTTGAACCCGTGGGCTCAGGCAATCCACTAGCATCGGCCTCCCAAAGTGCTGGGATTAAAGGCTGAGCCACCGAGCCCAGCCTTCTTTCTCTTATAAGGACACCAGTTTTGTTAGATTAGAGCCCTTCCATATGACTTCACTGAATGTTAATTACCTCTTTAAAGACTATTTCCAAATACACTCACATTCTAAGGTACTGGAGGTTAGGACACAATTGAGTCCATAACACTTTCTTATCAAATGCCAAGAATCTAATAATCCTAGTCCCAAGGAGGCGTCAAAAATCTCTGGATGAGCTGATGCTTCACAGAGAAAAGATCCTATCAGGCAAGATTCCCCTATCCCACCCTCCTTCTGCAAGCTTCTCTGTACCCCCCCCCCCCCATCCTCACTGGGCATTCAGGCATCCCTCTCCACTCCTTCAGTTAAGAACTGGTTCCCAGCCGGGCTCGGTGGCTCAGCCTGTAATTCCGCGCCTTTGGGAGACTGAGGTGAGTGGA